CCGAGGGGGCCGCTCTGAAATCGAGGCCGGTCGGTGTGGAGTCTTCTCCGGCGTTCGTAGGCCTCTGACGCATATGGGGGGATCGTTCCGCAGGGAGGTACGTGGGGGTCACAAAAAGTCTCTTGAAGGCAGTCTTGGGGGTATATTGTGATCCCCTTGACTTGCCCCTTCTCCTCATAGTGCCAGAGATGGCGTATGGGCAGTGTGTGTTCCGATTTTCGGTAAGATGAGCCGGGAGCAGAAAGAAAGCACAGCTCCCCCGGCCATTGCCAAGCCACGCCCCTTATTATTTTATTTTATTTTAATTTTTTATCAATTTTTTTCACTTAACTTTATTGCCATCACACAGGAGCTAACAAGCCCCTGTGTGATAGCATTTGGAGGTGACATGTTCAATTTATTGACCCCGTCACCTCCAATGCGACATCGCCGCGATCACTTGTAAACAAACAAGCATCTTCCTCACACTACATTTAGTCCTGCCTTCTTTACTGTCGAGATCCACCCAGCTGTGTGATTGACCGCTGGCTCTGCCTATCTAGAGGCAGAGCCAGCTGTACCCACCCCCTCCCCCCTTCGTTCGTCCAGTCGGCGCTGGAGGATCGGAGCGGGGAGGGGGAAATCCCTGCAGGGAGCCGTGAGTGATAGTCACGGCTCCCTGCAGGGAGATGATCGAGAAGTGAGCGAGCAACGGTATGTGTTCCCTCACCTCCCGTTCTATTGAGCCGACCTGTGACAGTTTCATTGTCACAGGTCGGCTCGAACTATGAGGAGGAGGGATTTTCACTCCCCTCATAGTTCTCCTTTAAGAGTCTCCTCCTGCAGGCGGCAGTTTATTCATTATAAGGAGACGGAGTCACTTCAATGAATATCCTTTACGGGAGTTAACAATGTGACAGACGCAATCCGCTCGCTGCATTCCTACCGCGCGCCTGTGTCTGCTAATAGATATTACGCGGCGGAGATGAATGAGGCCGTTTCCCGTTTAATGCCGCGCTAGTAACCGCCCTGGACTAAGAGAAAACATTCGTGCCAAAACTACTCCATAAAAATCTTTTTCAGCGAGCAGTAAAGAGACGAGTCGCCCAGATGCCATTAAATGTGATTATTGTCTAGCGCGCTCGGCGGCGTAATGTCATCAGTATAATTATATTGTATTACTTTGTTTACAAATAACTTTTATGGGGAAATAATGGGCGAGATCCAGATTTGTGGCCGCGCGTTTCCGCGTCGGAGCACGTTTTTAAAGGAGAGATCCGCGAATGTGAAAAATTAACCCTCACAGTGAGGCTATCCCGGCACTGCAAGGGTCAAGGGCTTGTTTTGGTCTAGGGCAGTGGCGGCCACAATTTTTCCTCTGGAGATCTACTTTTCAAATGACGAGCTCAACGAGATCTACCAACGAGAAAACACCTGCGTTCGGCGGCGGGACGGGGCGTGGCTGTGCATTGAAGTCAATGGCACCGCAGTCACGCCACCTCCACCTCCACCTACAGTGCGATCGCCTGCAATCAGGACGCAGGCACATCGGTGCCTGCGTTCCGGTTCAATGAGACCTGCAAGCACTATTTTTGCAGATCGCAGTGGACTGGAATGCAGGCACTAATGTGCCTGCATTCCGGGTGTGGGTGATCGCACTGCGGGCTAGACATGTGCGTTTCGTTACGAATCGAAATTCGTATGAATTTCCTGAAATTCGTAAATTCGGAAGCATCCGAAATCCGAATGGCAGTTTCCGAATTATATCCGAAATACAAAATTCCGTTAACGAATTTCGATCCAAATTTCGTTGAAACGGGAACTAATATTACCCCTGTAAATGAGGTTGAACAACATGACAAGATTTTTTTTTTAATCCGAAATACGAAATTCGGATCCGCTGCTGCTGAGGGTTGCATTACAATACAGGCAGGAAATATGACATTTTCGTTCCGTTACGAACAATCGTTATGATGACGTTAAAAAGCAAAAATACCTTTGTTAATATATTGGAGTTGATGGTATTTTTTTTTTTTATCCGAAATACGAAATTCGGATCCGAAATACGAAATTCGGATCCGAAATCCGTTAACGGAATTTCGGATTTAAAAAAAAAACTACCACTGACTCCAATATTAACAAAGGTATTTTTGATTTTTAACTTCATCTTAACGAATCTTCGTAATGTTACGAAAATGTGACGAAACTAACGAAAATTTGTATTTCGTATGAATCCGGATTGTTTCAGACACGAATTACGAAATAACGGATATTCCGAAACGAAACAAATTTTCTGACGGCGCACAAGTGGCTGCGGTGCCATTGACTTCAATGCACAGCCACGCCCCCCCCCCTCCAGCCCCTGAATGCAGGGAGCTGGCTTGCGTTTCAGTGCGTTCTAGAGGCCGAATTCCCTGAGAATGTTTGTACAGGTCATTCTGAATTGGGAAATTGGGAGATTGAGTTTTGTATTGATTGGTCTTGTGATTTTTGTGATTTTCTTTCACATATTCTTCTCTTTCATCTCTTCCTAGAACACGACGATTGCGGCAGCGGACGCGGCAACTGCGACGAGAACTCCATCTGCACCAACTCAGTCCAGGGGCACAGCTGCACGTGCAAGCCCGGATATGTCGGGAACGGCACCGTCTGTCAATGTAAGTCACATGTGTTTAAAATGTCCATTTTAGGCTTGAAGATGACTCAAACCCCCCCCAGGATTATATATTTCCTCAGCACAGAAACCCTATAAAACAAAATGGCGGCAGCTCCACTTTTTCACGTTGCTTGATATTTGTGCCACTATTTATCAAACCCAAATTTAGAGTAAAAAATACACTTAAAGGAGAACTATGAGGGGGGGTGATTTTCACTCCTCCTCATAGTTCGAGCCGACCTGCGACAATGAAACTGTCACCTGTAGAGCCAGCTGTCACTCACGCAGCTGGGTGGATCCACACAGTAATGTCGGGATCCGTCCCGGCTGCGGCGTCTCAGTATACCGCGAGCAGTAGCTCCCTATATACTGAGCCTAGGGTGACGGGAGGACGCTAGTTTGTGTACTCCCGTGACCCTGAGGAGAACTATGGGGAAAAACACTGACCCCATAGTTCTCCTTTTAAGTTAATTTCGGTGCAATAAAACATTTTCTGGTAAAATATAAAAGATGAAGTAAAAAAAAAAAAGGCACCCGAATTGTCCACTGGCAATGCTTCGAAAACTTTTACCGGTCTTCAGTTTAGAGTTAACTATCGATTTCAACATGTGTGGCGCAATCATCGCTCTTGTACCGTGGCGCTAGACACGTGCGATTCGTTTTTTTTCTGAATCAAAATGCAGACAATTGTTTTCGAAATTCGGACATTCGAATTTCCGAATCCCAATGCATCCGAATGTGGCCCAATCCGAATTTCCGTTTCCGAATTTTGGATCCCGTCTGAATTTAGATCAAAAACTAAACTGAATGGGACGTGTGACTTATCTGGCCAATCAGATGTGTTTTTAGGTTTAATGCAGCCGAATGGGTCGTTACGGCAACATGGGAGCCATATACAGCATATACATATAATACTAAAGCTGTGGCTCCCAGACCCGAATGGCATTCGGGGTCCGAATTTCCATATTGCATTTGGGAGCTCCTGAATGCCATTCGGGTCTGGGAGCCTCAGCTTTAGTATTATATGTATAAGGCTCCCGGACCCAAATGCCAGCCTGGTTCTGGGAGATTCAGCTTTAGTATTAATATCTGTAGATGGTTTTCTGTTTTACTCGCAACGAAAATTTGTAAACTCATCCAAAACTTGCAAAAATTCAGATTTCGTCTTCCAGATCCGAATCCCGAAATAACAAAATATCCGAACCGAACTAAGTTTTTCCACAGCTTACATGTCTATCAAGCGCCCTGGACACGTGTTTGCGTTAGAATGTGCATGTATGCAGAACTGGGAGATTGAAGCATTTTTTGAGGGGGTGTTATTACATTTAATTTGTTTAACTTTATTTTTTACATTTTTTTTTACTTTGTTGCTATCACATAGGGGGGCTAACAAGTACTTTAGTGGTGACAGGTCCTCTTTAAAGAGACATCTGGAGTCTGTTAGACCCCTAATATCACTTTTGCAGTCCATTGAAACTGATCAAGTACAGATCACGGATGATCGGCTCCTTTCCCCGCCTCTCTAGATGGGGAATGACGGCTCAGAAACTGGAAGTGACAACATCATCGTCGCTTCAGGGTTCATTCAGCAGTGAGGAGAACAGCGAATGAATGTTGGCTGGTCTCTCTCCATTGACACATGCAATGTCGGTCCTAGGCCTGCAGGAAGGGGGAAACACTGTGGGGGGGATTGTGCAGGGGGGGGGGCTGCAGTGCCATAAATACAGATCACTGGGCCCCATAGCAAAAATAGGGTGTCCCCCCTCTCCCAGATGACATCTTTCTGAGCTGTGAGTAGTGATGCCAAGATGCCAAAGACTCTTCCTGTGCATCTGAAAGCGTCTCTACACTGTAGACTTTACAGGGGATTAAAATTGTCGTCAACAGCAGTTACACCTGCTCCTGCAACCTAATGGGGCCCTCTTCCATCCCCAGGCCCCATAGCAGTTGCCTGGGCACCACTAAGGGGCTGCATGTTTGCCAGTGTAAAGTCGACAGTCGGCTTTACATGTGTAGATGGGCTATAACTCCTGAAAGTTCGCTTACAGGGGCCCCCTGCTGTCAATGTATGACATACGTCGGGGCAGTAAGATGGTTCAGCAGTAATGCAGTATTTATTTTTTTTACCGGCAGAGGGCATCGGGGGTGGGGAAAAAATTGGTAAACCCGGGAGGATAGGAGGAGAGAGCAGAGTGGCAGAGAGATGAGCTCATCAGCAGGGCCGGATTTACTATACCAGGGCTAAATGAAGAAAACGACCTCCCGCCCAGCGCCCGGAACTGCATGTCCCGGGCATCAAGAGATAGGAATTCCACACTCCCTGCTGCCCCTCTACTCCCTGCTGCCCCGAGGCCGGGCCTTGGTTGACCTAGTGGAAAATCCGGCCCTGCTCATCAGTCTGCTCCTACTCCTTTCACTGCCCAATAACAGGCTGGGGGAGAGACAAGACCTGTAATTGTTACTGAACTGCAGCAGAGAAATATCAGGTCTCCCCCCTATATCGGCGGGTAAAATAGCCGCCATCTATGTATTTCATCTGCGGATTTAGCGGTTTGGCCGGAGTTCAGCTGTTGCTGCAGTTCTGCTTTAAGCTTGGATACTTTATATCATATTTTATATTTATTGTCGGAGCCGGAGTTTACATGTTGACTTCTTCCATGTGCAGCGGATGTTTGGCATGTAGGTCAGGACCACGCGGTGGATTACAAAGTTTTCCAATACATGTAATTACCGGCACACAGGAAGAGTTGGAGGCTTCGTCCTCTATTGTCTTGTCAATAGCAGAAGATCCGTGGACAATAGACAGAATAATAACTTCATTTAGCCGCGCTCTGTGTACTGAGCAATGGTCCTTCTCTACTGTATTAATGGCGGCGCTCGCTGGACGCCTCCCAGCTATTCATATCACCGTATCTACATTTGGCAGAGCCCGGTCTGGCCGTAATAGCTTTGTGGCAACAATGCGCGGCAATAAAGCAGAGCGGGAATTAAACCGCTTGTTACTATTAAATTACACGGACTTTCCGGACAATAAATCAAGCTTTTCAATGGACTTCAAATGGCGCCATTGTTGCAGAGAAGAAGACTTCTACAAACTTCATACAAAAGGACAGAACTGGAAGCGGAGTTAGCATCAGATTTATTTATTATTTTCTTATTAAAGCTGAAGTTTCATCTGCTTATATTTTGCCTCCCCT